GTTTTTATGCTAAACATTCACAAACGTCGTTAATTTCCTCTTCGGCCATAAATGGGATTTCTTGTGGTTTTGGTGGATGCAGAGAGGATCTCTTCTCGGCTCCTGCACTTACGCTCCGTCTTGCAGGCTAAAATCAATATTTTATGCTTTTTTAGAATATTTATGCTTATTGTTTTGTGTTTAGCATATTTTTTGATATTTTTGCAGCCACTTTTCTGCAATACAAACCCTTCTAACAGGTACTCGATGGTACTCGTAACGTCGAAAATATGGTGGAGGTTTCTCCTTTTCAAAATGGACAGAATATAACATTTTGTAGCAATACAATAAAATAGAAATATTTATATTATGCTAAGTTTTGATATGGTGAGGACAGACAACAATCCTTCGTAGATAGATTGAGGGTTTTGTGTTGGATTTGGAAGACGAGACGAGAGGCAAGAGTTGACAAGATTAGGCCAACGATATCACTTGGGAAAACGAAAGTATTTGAGCGTCATGGCTTATGGCAAAGTTTGAAACCGACAAATTGCTTGTTTTGCTCGAAATCTTTTGCTCATTTCTACCTCTCTCCACATCCAAATTCTCGCTCGACCGAGTCGATGAGCGAGGCGACGAAGGCGTTGTTGTTGAGTCATCTCTACTGTTTTTATGTAAAAGAAGTAAAAAAAAGAATGTATGTAAAAGAAGAATGAGTCTTTCAAGGACTTTCTTAGAGCCAAAGTTTAGTTCTGAGCCTTTCTTGGAGTTCCTATCTACGTTCAAGATCTTGGCCCATTGGGGAATTTCGAGAAAGACTCTGAAGAGCTCAAATCTCAATAAAAAAGGTTTTTATTGCATAACTCAATGTTTTAATACATTGAAAATTGAGACCTATTTTCTACTTATTACTGAATTGACAAAGTCCAGAGGGCTCTACCAATTTCACTGGGCAAATGCGAGTTTACAAAGGCTTAAACAATAACCAGGATATTATATCTACAAGCATCGTCAAATAATTTAACAAACTAAACATAATTTAGTCAATTTAATTGCCCAAACACAGTATGGATTTGTGTGCAGAAGAGAGAACAAAAAAGTTAGTGTGTATGGGGACAAATGTCAACCACAAATGGGATCCCGAGGGATTTCCCTTCCATATCGAACCACTCTCCTTTTGGAAATGCCCCAACTAAATCCCCATCTTTGAGCCTTTTTTCGTAAGAGGGGCTATTTCAATGACCACGAAATGGTGATACACTCAGTGGTTCGACAATAATCATACAAAATGGTGTAGAACACCAAATGGTGTATGAACATCAATGTCCATAAATTTTGACTATTTTTAATCTGGTTTCAGGTTTGAAAAGTTTAATTTTCACATTTAACATAGTTCAAAGAATAAAGTGAAAGGTTTCTAGCACTCGATTTTCTAAAACTTAAGAAGCTAGGTATAGGCAGAAGAATAAAATATGACTGAACAGCCCTGGTTTAATAAATAGGGAAATTTAAACTTTTAAAGGAAAGCATAGACAAGCAGCCATGTGGGTTTTATTCTGACAATAAGCAATGCAATGTTCTGTGATCAAAGCGATAGCGTTTATGGTTAGGGTTTACTGGAAAATAGTTTGTTTAAGTTTGTTAGTTTAAGGCGAGATAATGCACAGAAGAAAGTCTTTAAAAAGATTGTTTAATGTCCATTATTTATAGCACACAATGAGTCTGTATCATTAAATTTTTCTTCAGAGATCCCCCACCAAAAGCTCAACGCAAGTAAATACTCTTACCAAACAGCTCATGCGTCTCCTTTTTGTTCTTTTTTGATCCTCGAGATGCTCGTCGAGAAATCGATGCAAACGTCTCATTTTTAATTAGCGTATTTTAGAGAAGTTTCAAGATTTGCAAATCGAATTGCAAGTAAAGTAAATAGCAACTGAAATTCAGTTGTAAGCAAGAACGCATTTTTTGGGGTGACTCCAAAATTGAGATACATATGTCGTGCTGGCTGTTCGTTGCCCCTTTCCTTCTCTTTTTTTCATCCGGAACTTTTCAATCTCTTTTCTTCTTGGGTTTCACGCGAAAAGCCTTTTTTCTAAACTAGACATCCATTTTTCTTCAATTCCTTTTTATCTTGAGTCATCGGGGGGCAATTTGTCATCGATATTTGAGAAAACTTTTTTGCTTTTACTAAAAAAACCGTAAAAACTTATAACAAAATAGGCCTTATGATACTTGGTATTTTGGCTGGCTTTATCAGCAGGTAAAGTCTAACCAGTAGGTCTAACCAGTAGGTAAAGTCTAATAGTAAAAATCAAATTGTAAATAGCTGAAGATATTCACCAATTCATTTAACATTTAAAATGAAGTTTGTGGAATTTTAAGGAATCGGTAAGAAATTATTTCCTGCTAATCAATTGTTTCTCTATTAAAAAGAGATTTTTTGTTGAAAAAATATTCTAATATAAGCTTTACCTGTTCAAAGCCATTAAAGCCTCAGCAACAAGAATCGCATCTTCAGCTAACAATGAAATATGACAATTAAATCTAATGTGTTTATAGAATAATCTTGGAGATTTTTCAAGAAAACCCTTTACATTAAGGTGCACACGAATGAATAGGGAAAAGGTTCGAAGAAAAGAAAGAAAAGAAAGAAACGATGAAAGAGTCCAAAGAAAAGACTTCCGGTTTGCACAATGCTCGCATTTTGTCGGCCAATTGATTTTCTTTAATAATACTATAGAGAATTTTGAGCTTTACTAATGGTTGTTTCAATCGTATTTAGAAAGATTCGTCCAATAAATAAGCAAAAGTTGGACAAGGAACGCTTGTGGAGCTTGAGATGAGGCGTCGGTGGTGATCTAACACCAAAAACCTAAAACGTTTTTTATTGGCGTTTTTTGTCTTGACAGCACAAACACGAGCATTTTACTTACAAGGAAAGGTCAACTGGATAGGCTGGCCAAATGACATGAGCCATAAACCATTCCACGCAGAATTTCACGCTGAATCCGGATCGGCTTTCGTTTTTTCCGTTTTTCCGTTTCCGTATTTTTCCGTTTTTTCCGCTTTCCGTTTTTGTAAAAATGGCACTCTATCAAAAGTTATAAGCATGCAAAGTTTTGTATGGGATTTCAAAAATCATACCCGGGTTTATAAGCAGATTTCCTAGAGACTTCAAGAAGCAGTGAACAAAATTTATCAGCTCCGTTATCACAGCACTTACAAACATAATGCTGAAATGGCTTTTTCTTGAACAGGCAAATGGATTAATGAAAAGGACACAGAAGGACTTGTAACGAAATATTTTCTTCAAATAAGGCATGGAAAAGAGACAATCAGATTCTTTGCTGTTGATGAAAAAGTGATGAACGGGAAAGCGTATATTGATATAAACATTGTGTTTATTCCACGATTGATTCATCTTACCAGTTTTTCAAAAGTCAATTTTGGATCAAAATTTGATTGTTTCCTAAGATTGAAAAAACTTTTATTCAAGAAAATGAAAATGTTTTCTAAAATTGTCTCCTATCGATTGATTACCTATTGCCTGATAGTCAATTTTAGGAAAGATTTTGATTTTCTTGAATAAAAGTTTTTTCAATCTTAGAAAACAATCAATTTTTGAACCAAAATTGACTTTTGAAAAACGATCAACAATCAAATCTTTTAAAGAGTTCTCTTTAAGAATTGAAAACTAGTTTGCCAAATAACTTGAAAGAGGGAAATGCTACACAACAACAGTCATTTCACAATTAGTCACAGTCTCAGAAAGCGGGTTTCTCATTCCAATCCCAATTTGTTTCCCCGATATCTTTTTTAAAGATAACTGATCGCATGATTTAACATTAATACCTTTTTATATTAGTTAACCAATTGAATTGAAAAGTTATTTCTTTAACAATTTACTTTCGGCTGCTTTTTAAATATTTGTTGGTGTTTACTTGTATTAGAAAGGCGATTCGTTACAGATGAACTGAAATGACATCCCAATCGCGAAAATCCTCGATCACTCTATTGGTGTTAACTGCTTTTTGTATTGGGGCCATCATATTCATCATATTTCTAATTATTTACTCTGTGTAAGTACAAAGAGTAGTTTTTGATACCTAGATTGCCTTTAGGAGACTGCAAATAAATCATCGAACTTCTCATTATCAAACGAAATCTACTGATCATCCGAAAAGTCATGCTACTCCAGATTCCAACTGTTGTCCATTGAGTTGTATCAACAATTGTGATTCTGGGAATTGTCCATATTGGTGTAGGGTAAAAGGGAATTGTTGTACAAATGAATAATAATAAAAAGTTAAATGTGTTTAACAAAACCAACAATTTGAATCCTAGCCAATAATCATTTCAAACGATTGGTGAACAAAAGAATATATGGACTCTAACAAGGAGTTAGCACAAAATACCTATGTTATTTACTCATTAGCTTCAACATATACATGTATGTGAATTATTTTGTTTGGAACAATAGAGGGTTGTTTCTAGCAACCTTGAATTTTGAATCTTAGAACTCATAAAGTTTGAAGTCGGCGATTCGTAGATTCTTCAATCGTTTCAATTGCTCGCACCTGCGCCTTGTGCTTTGCATCTGAAATCTACCGATCATAGTCATCTCTTCTGTTTCGTTGGCTCGGGTATCAGCCATATGCGTTGCGTTTGTAAGACAACGAATCGTGGAAAAAAAATGAATTGCCTTGTTGTCTATGGGCGTTCGGATGATAGATGTAGTGTAATCATAAAGTTGGATATGTTATATACTATTATATTTCTGAAATTCTTGCAAAGTGCATCCTGAATGTTTAAATAATATGTTGCTTTACTAATCGTAAGTACACATCAATAAAAATGTTTTATTATATTCAAGAACCCGTTTTTTTAAGTTTCTCCGTATTCTCCGTTTACAGTTTAGCCATTGTCTTTTCCGCATTCGTTGTTAACAATTGAATCATCGTCGATGGCCTGGACGATTTTTCTTAAAGCTTAAATCTTTCTCTAATCTTTTTCTTGTTTCATTTACCATTTTGTGGAGGGAAAATCCAGTTGAGGATTCGATTTCGATATGTTCTCGTGGCAAAGATGATTATCAAGCAATTGAGCGGCGAGTGAAGGCTGAGCATTAGGGTGAATGAGGCGATAACTGAAAAGAAATAAGTTATGCTTGTATAAATGTTAATTCATAAAGATATTATAACTATTCAAATAAAAAACAAATGCAAACAATTCTTTTTTTGCTTGTTTACCAAGATTTTCGGTGGGCCAAACTTTCGACAGACCCAACATGGCGAGACCGGCCGGAATCGCAGTAGTGAGCACCATTTCGGCAAACTGAAAAATGTACGTTTTTACAAATTTAAATGACATAATTGTTTTTTCTTATTTTTCACTAGTTCTACCTGTAAATAGAAGACAATCTCCATATAGCAGAGCATATCTCGTGTTTTCTGACTGGCCGTCGTCTTCTTGGCACGATTTGATTCGTGTAGCACCAGCCACATCACAAAGAACACCCATAAAGTAAACATGGCAAACTGGAAATTTGGGGTTTTGGGATATGTATTATGGGTAAATTATGGGTAAATTGCTAGTAATATAACAAACCGCTATACTGCCCGGATAAGCTAAACGGGGATCCTCGACCCGTGGATAGATGATCACCGTTCTCGGGAAGAGTAGGCAAGCCGCGTTTTCAACTATAACAGGCTGATAATAGACGTGTTCATCGGTTTGACCGTTCGTCCACTTTTCAGTCGGCCGGTTCGGTTTTGTAGCCGTTTGCCTACTCATCTGTCGATCGTTCGATCGAAATCGATCCGGCCGAACTGATGGAACAGGTCTAGCCGATAACTGGTGCTATATGCTTACAATTAACTTTCTTTCAAATTTTCCCTCACCATTTGGCTCCTTGAGCAACGCGTACTGGGTGGTGTCCGTAATTTGCACCTCGCTCGTCGCTATTATGATGAAAACGACCAGTGACAGACCACAAAACATTCCCGAGACACAGAGAAACACGAAAAATTTGTGATGCCGCTTCGTGAACCTGTAATTAAGGTGTAAAAAAGAAAAGGAGGAGAAAAATACTATTTTTTCATACTAAAAACTACGCATTATCCGTCTTAGGAATTGGAAACAGCAAGAACTCGCTCGTATTTACAGTTTACGAAGCTGGGAAAAGTTGCAAATAACAATAAACGAACCTTAATAAGTAAAAATTTGCATTTAAACACATTATACTTTATACAATGAACTCACCCGACAGCGTGCAGCTTGTATAGCACTGATGAGAGCAGGCTAGCACCAACACCAAACCCGAGCACATAATATGTAGCCTAAAGTGAATTATTTGCTAGAGTTACATTATAGTTTTTTCATTAAAGCTTACCACGAATCGACCCTGAAACTGTGGAGAGCCAAAGTTCTGTCCGTAGATCGCGCCACCATATGGGAGCATGAGAATTTGCTCTAGGAAGACCATACTCGTGTTGAGGCATTGGGAGACGATCTGAAAAGAGAAGGAAAATTATTTTGCTTACGATCATATCTAACCTTTAGTATAGATATTCAAAAATGACAACTTAACAAGGGAATAGACCGTTTAACTAATGTAGACATTGCTGGACATTAATTGACGGAATTGGAATCGGTTTTTAAAAAGTCCGTTCACAAACAAATGTAAGATTTTGCATATTTATCGTTATCCATGATGTTTTATCATTTCTGAATCTACCAAATTTGCTATTTGAAGATTCCGATAGAATTTCGTAGCCGGCGAGTTCACAGAAACCATGATGAGAAGCGTGGGAATGAAGGCTACGGTAGCCAATCCAAAGAATGCTTTATAGAGCGATGAAATGGCATCCAATTGGTCATCGGTCGGACAGAACATTTTCCGGTTTCTTTCCGAACCTAAATTCAGATATGCAATTTAAATACCATTTTATAAAACACGAATCCCAATTAACTCCCTTTCCACTAGAAACATCTGTCTTCCTCAAGTCTTTTTTATCATCATACATTGCATTTATGGAAATTAATTAGACCAAGCGGTTTTGGATTATTGATTTAGATTTATAAATTTAGAAAGGAAGGAAAAGAAATGGGCTTTCACGTGAGTTTTTCCTCAATGGCACTTTTTATGAACACAAAAACAGGAGACTGAGAAATATCTCCTGAATGGGGAATGGGAAATTCCTCAAGAATAGGCATAGACGTAAGAATCGATCGGGAAAGCTAAAAATGGCTGAAAAGAAGAGATGACTGACTATCCAAAGTACAAAAGGCATCTATGATTACTAAACAGCATAAAATAGTTGTAAAAAAAAAAAAAAAGGGAAAAAAAAAAAAAAAAAAAAAAAAAAAAAAAAAAAAAAAAAAAAAAAAAAAAAGAAAAAAAAAAAAAAAATTTATAAAAAAAAAAAAAAAAAAAAAAAAAAAAAAAAAAAAAAAAAAAAAAAAAAAAAAAAAAAAAAAAAAGAGGAAAAAAAAAAAAAAAAAAAAAAAAAAAAAAAAAAAAAAAAAAAAAAAAAAAAAAAAAAAAAAAAAAAAAAAAAAAAAAAAAAAAAAAAAAAAAAAAAAAAAAAAAAAAAAAAAAAAAAAAAAAAAAAAAAAAAAAAAAAAAAAAAAAAAAAAAAAAAAAAAAAAAGTTTTTTGTTCAATTTCCATCTTTTTAAATCAATTTCGGTTCACTTTCAAGCAAATTCGAGAGTGAAAAACGCCTTTTTCGTAAAAATCTATAAAAAACTCTACGGAAAAATTGGCTGAATGAGTTTCTCTGAAATTTTGGCGAAATATCAAACGTTTTTTTCTCTATCTTTTATCTATTGACACGAAGATAGGTTTTCTTTAGCTAAGGTGTCTAAACCGCATCATCGAGTTAGCCCTTTTTGACTACCCGACTTCATACTCTCAAGAAAATCCAGGCATAAAATATTTTTAAACCCGTTTTAATGTTATTTTGCAGAAAAATAATTGGTTTTTCTAATGAAATCAACCGTAGTTTAATTGGTGCATTTGTTGGCTTGAAACGGCAGACGAAAAAAATGAAAAAGACTTTTGCATCAACCTAATAAAAAGAAAGTAATGAAAGTAGCAAAAGAAAGTAAGTAGATAACTTCGCTTGAAGACTTAAAAAATTGAATGTTTTGTGGGAGAATCACGTATTCTTGGAAGAAAAATGTGACTAGGAACCGAAAGTGCACTGGCAAGTGGTACTTGATGCCCGGAAGTGCTGCGCACTTCATAGAAATGAGAAATGAATCCTGAAAGGCGAATAAAGAGAGACTTTGGGAAAGTAAAACTTCAATTTCCTAACAATAAGTTCAAAAGCTTGTTTACAGAAAAGTTTTCTAACAAATAAGAAAACATTATTCATTCAGATAGAAGTAGATATTGGAAAGGTTAAAAATGGAAACATCTTTGCAATTCCAAGAAGAAAAAAACGTTTTTTTCGGAGGGAAGGAGCTTAGACGAAAATAGCCGCGACGATTCTAATTGTAATTTGTGAAATTTGATCACAGCCGTCCAGCCGACACAGACGACCACAGCCAGTTGGTATAATTAGTGGCTGCCACACAATCCACCAGCAGGGTTTTCCTTCAATTGGAATCATTAAGGAAAAGCCTCCAACTAGGAAGAGCTGCTCTTTGGAAAGAGTCTTCAAAAATCGCTTCAAAATGACCTGAAATAAGAACCTCATCTCGGCTTTTTAAGGAAAAGATGTAAAATAAAGAAAAAGAATGTAAAACATGATTTGTCGGTTTGTTGTTAGTTTAATTAGGTCATCTATAATTCGATTTCATAGAGAAAATACTAGGTTGGTTGGACTAAACATTCTATCCACATCTCCTTCGTTATCTTGATCACTTGTGTATCTTGAAAGTGTTTCGGAATCGAGCAGAAATCCTAGACTCGCCTTGATTAGATTTTTCCACGCAAAACACATTTGATCCTCCCTTACGCTAACTACACTACCTATTTTGAGGATCAAATTTCAAATTAGAGAATTGATGACGAGCAAATGGCCAAAAAACTCCAACAAATCATATATACACCGAAGAAAATTCGAATATGCATTTATTGAAAAATTCAGATGAGAAATGGTCGGGTGATAAAAGAGTTGTGGCAAGAATATCGCTCTCACTCGACCTTTCACTTAACCAGTTACTCTATCTCTTGAGCTACAGGAAACATTCTTTGCCAACAATAAAGAAGAGATAGGAAGAAAAGAAAGATATACTTGAATTAAAAAAGGATCAATTTGAAGCAATGTCTGAAGAGACGATGGAGGTCGATGGGAGAGATTTTACGAAGGCATTGCTCACGGCCGGCTGCTCCTGTTCCTTATGGGGTTTCTCCCTGCCTTCAGAGATCCGTGGAATTCACGCGATTCACCCAATGAATTATTCCCGCTAGCCGCTTTTTTTAATGAGCCCTTCTCCCTTTTACTCTTCTCCCTTCTCCTCTCCTGTTCCCCATATTATTCTTTTCTCTGTTGAAATTTTCACGCCCAGGACTTCTTTTCCTTGAATGACCTAGGGATCTTGCAATCAGTTTCTCGAACCCTTTACATATATTAGTTTTTTCTCGAGAACATATTGGGTATTGGACCTCAAAGATGGGAGTAATATTTTCGAATTTCTCAAATCTCTTTCCACATCAACAAATTTTGCTGGGTTTTGGGTACAAGGATTGTTTACTTTCAGAGAACACAAAAAATAGTTTTGCAAAAATGAGTAGCATAAAGGTACGTTTTATAGATTCCGTTTTGTGGATTCAAATTTTTCTATAAGGCACAAGTAACCAGGGTTTTAGAAAACAAAGTTCTTTTTATACTAAACTTTCACTTTACTACTTTTACTTTAACTTGTTGGAAATGCAGCAAAAAGCGGTATGGCAAGATTGCTGCTTGTCTGCTAGAGCGTACCAGATGGAGGAAACACATAAAGAATGCAAAACTTTGAAATATGTAGAAAAGCGATTGAATAGAAGCTATGCCTTTTGCAACTGGTCATTTTGCAATAAGGAAAATGAGTTTTTGAAACAGAGACAATTGCCATTTTTTTAACAAAACAAACAACAGCATCAGATATTCCTGGTCGACCGAGAATCACGTACATATTCTTGACTGAATTCTTAACATATTCGATACTCACCTTACACGAGGAACGCTGCACATTCTTTGAGAGTCGATTCTTCTCAAAAGTCTAAACCGACAAATGTCTCAAAGATCCGAAGGAATTTACAATTTTGGACCCACCTTTTGCCAGCTTCCGTTTCGCACCTTCTTTTTCAATTCGGTTTGCTCTTTGTCCAGTTGCAACGCTTCGGCTAATTCCTAAGTGCAGATAACTTTAGTTCCTTGTTAGTTTCATTCGACAATCAATCAATCACCAACAAACCCTACCTCATTTTCGATGATCTCGTTTAATGCTTTGAAGGGCAAACAGGCGATCACTTTGGCTGTTCCACCGGGAAGGCGATTCGCGCCAAATCGATCAATCAAACAGCTCTTTTGTTCGGAAAAACAAGTTTATTCATTGACAAATCTCTTCAAAAGTCCCCACAAATAATCCTCAATATTTGCTTTTTTGCGCATCCGCTGGCAGTTTCTTTGCACAGAGTCGACGTACCGAGACGAGAAGCCGCAAGCTGGAAAGTCAAAGCGAATAAGCATAGTCACTTATGATTTAGACCGGAAATTAGGAAAAAAAAATCATGAAGTTCGTTCATTTTTGTCTATCTGTTGTTTGTTTGGATTCCCCTCGGAAGTTCTGAACCTGAACATGTGTGTCGTTTCAAACGAGCATGTTTGATGAGATGCTGAATGCAATTTTGAGAGCCGAATCTGAACGGAAGCATACAGTCGACGCTCGATAGTAAAACATTGAAGGGATTCTCCAAAAATGTTTTACTATCGAGCGTCGACTGTAATTGAAAAAAAAATGTAAACAGTGTTCGAAGAAAAAGGATATTTTCCATTTCATTTCGGAAAGCACTCGTTTTCGTCGTTTGAGTCATTGACCTGGCAAGGGATAGACTTCTGGGTGTGTGTGAGGCTGTGCTTTTGGGTAAGTGTGTGTGCTTTAAGGCCATAGATAAGAATGCATTTTAGTGTACGTTGTTTTTTTGTATTTTGCAATCGTTTGCTCGTGCATTTATTCGGTCGAAAACTCGAACTGGTTGTGCGGGATTGAGTACTCGTTTTTTGAGTCACATAGCTGAAAAAACTAAAAAAAACTGTCTGTTACAAGGCTTATTTGACATTGAGAAGGGACTTTTGAGCTCATCTTCGAACGAGCTGCTCTCAACACAAACAGCGGTCGTCAAACAGTGAAAAATGGGTGAAATTTACGTTGACCGAACACCGAACTGTTGCGTGTGGCACGCAACAGTTCGGTGTTTGCAACAGTTCTGCAGACATCTGCTCTGAAATTGTGCCGCTAGTAAAACATTTGCCTCTCTCCACATCAAGTGCATTACAGAGCGATCAAATGAGGGCACATTTTTGTGAAAAATCTGAAGACTGGTGAAATCACTTTTGTGACCAATTATAAATATTAGAATAGGTGGCATCGTTGGAATTGCTTCTGGCCAAAAGCTGAAACTCCAAACCTGAAATTCTCGTGAATTTCTTCGTGAATGAAAAAAGACTCGGAAGAAATGGGATGGATCGATTTTCTGATAAGAACCCTTGTAGTCAGAGATTCCGGAACGTGTTAAAGTTTTTAAAAGCAAACTTAAAAGTGCGAAGCCAAAGTAAATCTAAACTTTATTAACTCGAAATTCTCGGATGATTCAATTTCACAAGCATTCAAGCTACGGCGGTGACCAAAGTGACGAATGCTTGACTTGAGCTTTTCGTCTTCTCCATGAATTGGTAGTTGAAAGCAAAGTAGAGAAAACTGGAAAACTTTATGAGATTAAAAAGTGAATGCAAAAGGAACTTGTATCCACCAGCAAACATTTGCCATCCAATCGTGAACGTCATAAATGCCAGTGTAGGCGACGGATTTGCGGCCGCGACGATGACGAAATACGCCGTGAACAACAGAAGGGCTCCGTCCTGGAGGATTATCTGAACATTTGACAGTGTTGAAAAAGTAGTTTTAAGTAGAAAAAGTAGAAAAAAGCCTCCCGCTTTCATCCATTTACTATCTCAATAAAAAGCCTCCAACTAGGAAGAGCTGCTCTTTGGAAAGAGTCTTCAAAAATGGCTTCAAAATGACCTGAAATAAGAACCTCATCTCGGCTTTCTGACTCTTCGCCACCGACTCTCTGTCCACAATGGAAAGATTTTGTGATTGCTTAAAGGGAATAGTTTATGAGTTTTCTTCTTTTTCAACCACATTCAAACCTTTATTCTCTTCGTCAGGAAATAATAGGCAATGAATTGGAGGAGCAAATTCTCGATGCTGATTATTGACGGGAGAATGGTGGACTGAATGAAAGAAACGAGGTGTCACTGTCTTTTAGCAAAGTCAAAAATTTGTAACGGTTGATTTATGTCTAAAATTTGTCTTGCTCCCAAGGTTTCTAGGACCGGAACAAAATTTTCATTTTCTTTCTGCATAAATCTAAACACCTCAGAAGACTAGTTCTCAAATCGAATTGTTCACAGTGAACTTGGCTCACTTGTGTGATGAACAGCAGAGTTGTCGCACAGTCGCCCGGCTCGTTCGAATAGATCAACGCTGAGGTGATGAACGTGCCCCGACAGCCGGCTGGAATTTAGGTCTACTGGCTTTCGATGATAGCCATGTGAGGCTGGGTTGTTATTTTTTGTAATTTTGATCTCTGTTTGCCGCATTTTTTTAGGGGTTTGGCAAAAAGGGAAATAAGCTTTCGTTCGACAAAATTTCATTAGCCGATCTTTTCACCAGAAAGGTTTTCAATGATTGAAAGGCGAAAACCCACGAATCAATTGGACTCCCCAAAAAGCCATCAACAGAATGTAGGCACCGAGCATGCAGGCGTTCAGCGAGGCGCAAAACTGGTTCAAAAGCTGAAAAAAGTGGATTAAATTTTAAAAAATAGACAGGAGACCTTTGTGTTTCCCAATGAGGCGAGCAGTCGATTCACCGACAAAAGCACGCGCACAACGAAGGCCACCGTGCAAAAAGAGTAGACGAGTCCCGTCGAGATGTAGTCCAACTCGACGACGAACGCATTTGTGATGTCACTGAGAATTTGAAGATTGTACAAAGGTTTACAGAGTAGTGTTTGAGCAATGACAAATTGATAAGTCGTCAATTCGCCCTCAATCATAAATTTTAAATCTCAAGCCAAAAAAGTGCATCTCAAAGTCAGCGAGTGCATGTCAGCCACCTCAAAGTGCGATTTCTTAGAACTCGTCTAAAACCTTCCTAAGAAATCCCAATTTTTAGCCCTGAATGAGCGAGGGAACAATGGAAGGAACGTATATGTTTTTTGCTTAGCCACACACGAGCATAGCCATGGTATAAACCTTCAAACAGCAACTTTTCGGTAACTCGGCAAACTATCCTCTGCAAAATGAACCTCCCCACCCAAAGATGACCAACGGTGTCCACAGAATCGACACCAAATTCACCGATCCCCAATTGACGATGTCGAAGAGGAGAATGTGACGGAACGGGCCGGACAGGTGACGGCAATGGAAAATCACATAAATGGCCAGGGTGGCCGTCGTTGTGCCGAAGAGACCGACCTGCATGAATTGGCTCTATACGGTCAAATACAAAATGAATCGTTTTGCGAACAACTCAAGCAAAAAAGCTTTTTTTTCAGAAATTTCTACTACTAGAAAGTAGCTCTAGCAGGTTTGAAGTTTTTTCATAAGTTCACTTCATGAACAGTAAAATGATTAGCAAGCTCACCCCAGCGGCCAATAAAATTTTTGTTATTTGATCCATCAGTTATTTGGTGGGGGAGGGAAATGGAAAATTTTTGCACAAAAGTGAGCCGATCAAATGAGTCAGGATCGGAAAAATCTCCGCCGTTGATTGGTTTATTCGGGCGAGAGACTTTTGGAGTCGTTTTTTTTGGAAGAAACCAAATTTACCGAATGTTAAGAAGAAAAAAAGTAGAAACTAATCAAATATTTATACAAAGATCCTAGAAGTTTTCTAGGTTTTTCACGTCAAGCGTCAAAAAGAACAGTTATTTGGTGTCTGTTGTATCAAAAAATACTATCTTGCAATCAAAGTTTGCGAAAAGTTGTTAGCAAACATACAAAAAAGTCCCCTAAACCTTGTCATATCAAAGAAATGTTGTTTTCGGTTTGATCGAGCCAGAACACGCACAAAAAGAGTCCCCCAAAAAGAGAGACTTAATCCGTTTTTTTCACTTTCTTTCCAAATTCATGAAATGATCAAGCATAACATTGTGGCTCTATGTAAATTCGGAAAACAGTAATTTCTGAAATTTTTGACTGAATACTTTGAAATTAGTGGCAAATTTGCATGATTTAGTCAATTAGAAATTTCTGAAATGATTTTTCCGAATTTATATAGACCCAACATTGTTGCCCATCAAGCACCGTTTTCGTTTGGATGCTCAAGAAAGTATTTGGATGCCGTTTGGTCGTATAGCGGCTTGTAGCGTACTTTTTCAATCTGTGACTTAGATTCGGTACACACAGCGGCAGATGAAAGACTGCGAACTGCCTAGACCCTAGACCAGTTGGTGCCGATGTGCCGTTCAAATTCAACAAACTTCTCTTTGAGTCTACCAATTTTCCTCCCGGCTTCGAAGAGATTCTCTTGAATCTTCTCGCTAAAAGTCGAACTGATTCTGTTTCACTTGAAGTGTTTAGCGGTAAAAACCGTGCCGACAACGCTAAATTTCTATTTTTCGTCGACATTTTTTGACGAGAAAAACTCTTTTCGGAAGATTTTCTCTCTATTTGGTGGGTTCACATGACAGTCACATATTGACAAACTTGTTTGCAAAGAGTTTCGAGCATTTGGACCTCTTTTCTTCAGAAATGCCCAGAAATGTGTTCGTCGTAAACATTGCTCAGATGAGATATGAAGCCAAAAGTTTGTACCCAGGGGTTTTCGGGGTCGGGGAAGCGATTGGAAGCGGTTGGAAGGTCGGGGAAGCGATTCATTTGTTGTATCTTCAAGCAAAATCTCTAATTTGTGTTGATCTTGAACCATTTTTCCTTCTTGAACCCATAAGAACCCATTTAGTTTCCCATTGATGTTCTTAAAAGCTTTGGAATTCGATTCACAGTTTATGCTCCAAAAAAACCCCCAAAACCCAAGGAATTCCTCCAATCACCTCTTTGTTGTACCTGTGGATTGCACGTTGAAATAAGAAAAGAAATAACAAACATGTAGGAAGAAAATATTTTTAACATTGCCAAACATAAACATTTTAATTGAAAAGTGAGGGAAAAATGTGGAATACTGTATAAATATCGTTTCTTTTCGGTCAAATCCGTCGTCAAGATCACTTCTTACAGATGTAGCGATAATAGAAAAAGTCCTCATCCCAGTTGCTCCAATAGTCATTTTGTGAGCATCGGGGATCATTTATGATCTAAATAGTTAGATTTCGGTTATTTGGAAAAGATTTTTAAACTTTACAAAAATCTTTTTGCTCAAAATCTTCTATCTTCTATAATCTTCTATAAAAAACACTTTTTGTGTTTACAATCAAAAAGACTCACCCCGTAAGTGTTTGTGCCGGCGGTGCAATTCTTGGTTTTGTCAAAATCGAAGGGTGTATTGTCGGTCCACGCCTGATAGAAACCCGCACAAATGAGCCCGATCACCGCCTGATCCTGTTGACAGTCGGTCTCTTTGAGAATTGAGGGGTCGGTGGCGATTTCCCCTGAATGACATAAATAAAACCGTTGAAGTTGCAGAAGAATGCAGAAAAATGAAAAGTCACTTTTCAGAAAGTCGAACTCCTCCTGACTGTGAATTGAGACAACGGTGGCACCCATTGATTGACACGCATCCTCGGCTCCATAGATTGTGAAGGAAACAAAGTGATCTTCGAGAACCGGGTCCTAAGCCTATGTTCAATGACAGAAAAGTACAAAAATTACCTGGAAATAGTAGCATTTCCCATTGAACGGTACCCAACCAGCTGGACAAGCTGAAAACTAAAATTTAACATGGTTTCCAGAAGGGTCGAGAATGACTTCTCTCCTTCCCTTCACAGACAACTGACCTGGATGAAAAGCCGTTGTGGTAATTTCCATTGTTCCGTTGTTTAGTATTGAGCAGATAAATGTTGTACTTGTATCACAGCTCACCGATATCCACTGGTAGTCTTGGGCACTTTGCACAGCACAACTCACATTTTGGAGAGGATTTCCTAAAACGAGTTGGGAATGTTTTATTAGGTTTAACCACAATTCTCCTTAATCGTTCAAAAAAGAATGAAGGAAAGGAAGATTTAGATCCCGTTTACCCGATTTCCAATTCTGATACTTCAGCGAAGTGCCATCATCGTTTGTCCACGTTCCGTCTGATCCTCTGATCACACCAATGTACGATTGACTATCGACACCGAGTGCTAAGCGAGGTTTCATTCAAAAAAATAGCGAATCAATGTAACAACTAACTTGTTTGTGCCTCAGATCCAGACATGACATTCTCGAAAATATCTCGAATCGTGATGATTTGACCGCCGAGATTTCGGCAAATCTTTTTCGCCTCCGGATACGTTGTTTCTTGAGCAATTTCTCATTTTTATATAAAGTGTAAAAGGAAACTGTTTGTAGAATGAATTTTATCGAGTCTGTTTATGGAATCCTGCTAGTGAAATTTGAAAAACAAACTCGAATCAACGGGATAAATGCACTCGGCTCGTTCCAAATACTCAAGCGATCCCTCGGGACATTTTGCATATGTTGCTGAGAAGTAAATGGTGATGAATGATAAACAAGTAAACAAACAAGTAGATTGCATTATTCGAAATAAAGCTTATTGAATCGAATCCACTTCACTTCTCTTTTCCCCATCAGTCCCACAGTTCACTGATAAACGAATCGTAAATGCTTCTCAACCTTACTATCGCCAATGAAAAAAGACCTTTGGTCAAGAAACGTCAATAAATATCACATAGTAATTCCAACAAAAACTATTTATTCAAATATTGCAAAATATTTGAATGATTTTGTACTCAGAGTCAATTCATAAATCTCAAAACTCAAACAAAGGAAATCACCGAATCAACTTCTATTCACAACAGTTCTTTTCACTTGATTTGAAGTTTTTCTTTTCAATCGATCAATAAATAAGTTGTCACGAGTCTAAATTTCTCAAGAATCATGTGTAAAATTGCTTGAATGCATCCCTGAAAAAGACGATTCAACGAGTTAATGAGTAGATTTCCCAGGTAATATTAGTCTGAAAAAAAAACACAATTGGCTACAAAAAATAAGGTAATTTGTTTGTAGAAAAAAACTTGATGAGAATTTACAATGTGGGGAAAGCACAATAGAAAGCGAGTGAAATGCGAAGCGAGTAGAGGCAAAAACTTTCCGACATCTTCTCTAAAAGCTTTCTCTCCCTTTCTCTTTGCTTGATCAATCGTCCATTGATGGACATCGCCGAACGACGACAAATTAAAACCACCACAAATTGCATTGTTTTTGGGGGATTACCTAAAGGACTTTTTATAAAACCTTTAGAAGTCAAGAAAAATCTGTGTGTGTTGACCAAAAAATTAGCTACTTCCCGTCGGGCTCCTCTATCAAATTCCTGAGATGTTTTATTGGAAATTGCGAACAGAAATTAGGTGTTCTCCTCTGTCGATTCAGAGACACTGTCGAAGCAACAACTTCTTCGTTTTCTCAACATTTTCGCAACATTTTCTCAGAAACTTCTCGAAAATGAAAAACTAAGAAAGGGGAAATGAACAGCAAAAGCGGTAGATGTAACTTGTTTTTTTCATTTTCTTAAGGCAATAAATCAACTAAGCCACAAGAACGTTATTTGTTTGCATAGATTGGTGATTTTTGGCTGATCTCTGATCTTTGTTATTTTCAACTTTGTGAGGTTCATAATAAAAAACTTTCAACATTAACACATTCAACGACAATTTTCTATTTAGCGAACTTTGAATACAAATATTTATTAATTTTCCACTCGAAAAACCCGATTTCTATTGCCTAGCCGTTGTCTTTTTTGATGGACTTGCTGTGATGAGCTCGTTGTGTTCGTTTCCATTTTCACTTTTTGTTCTCGAAGCAATATTGCATAGGTGAGACTAAATTTATATATACGTCAACTCTATTTTGGAATTCTATATTGTGAAAAACTCTATAATCTGGAATCAGTTTTAGGTCCCTAGAACGGTTTTTACGCTAAAATCCCCTATGTCTAATGTGGAAAACTCTATACAGTCGAACCTCTCTATAACGAACCCGAAACGAAACCCTCTATAACGTAAGGGGGACCGGTCCCGGCCGCGTTAAGCTATATAAAACGGCACTCTATTACGTAAACCTCTATTACGTGCTATGCCGTCCCGTGAGTTACGTTATAGAGAGGTTCGACTGTAATGTAGACAAAATTTTTGGTCCCTTGCGTTCCACATTAGAGAGAGTCGACTGTATTCAAACAAAAAAAAGTTTTCTAATTTCTTATTTTATAAATGTTTTCTAAATTTTACCAACCAAGAAACAATGGAACACAGCTGCCAATAGAAAGTGCTCAAGAGAAAAGTGGCGAGATTTGAGGAGGAAAATGAGGAGAAGCCGACGATCGAGAAGTTGAGAATGAGACCGGTGATCAGGTCTGTGATCATCTTAAAGTATTACCAGATTATATTTTCGAGAAATTGCTTGTCTGCTAAGTTTTAAGCTTACCAATTGAGTCTTTATCGGGGTCTACTACATGTAGCTAGTCATGAAAAAGAAGAGGAATTTGTTAATTTTAAGACTTGGCATCTTTTTGCCGTTAAGAACACTTTTGTGACGTTTGAGAGATTGGTTAGCTTAGAACGAATAAAGAATAAAAGAAGTTTCTTCTTGAGAAACGGAGGGGAAAGTGAATGTTGTTGAGAGGACAGCCGACCTGGTCGAGCTGGGTCGAAATATAAGCATTGAGCCACAGGGTCAAAGGGTTATCTAACAGACTAGTCCATTTCCACTTTCTAGTTCCAGTTAAATATGGTCACTATGCATCACACTCATCGAACTTGATGGATTGAATGCCCGCTTTACTCACTTGTGCCGCCAATTTGTACTCTTTTCGTAGATTTCTCGCTTGTTGACTCGTTTGACGACGTTGATCGCTTTGAAAGGCACGAATGCGGCGGCGAAGCATGAAGAAAATCGTGAAATCGACGATGGCCGTGAGGGCGAGGTAGACATAGGCGAGAAGGCCCTGTTGTCATTGGAAATGATCTCTACCCCAAAATATTGGGTTGGTGCACTGAACATGGGCTATCATTTCAAAGTTATTTTTTGAAATGACTAATCCGTCAACGCGTTGCCAAAAAAAGATAATTTTTCTTTTAGCTCATTTTATTTTTGGACCGTTTTAGCAGCAAGGAACCTTTTTTCCATAAAATTCCGATAGTCAATGTACAATGTAAACGGCTGAACAGATCAAGCGATAGGCCAACTTTTTATGCTCCACTTTTTTTCTCTTGAAAAAAAGAAATTTCTGTGGCTAAAGTGCTCTAATTTCAACACCAAATCGGTGCCATTTTAATCATCTAAGTTCTCGTTTATAAAATGCTCCAAAAACAAAAATTTTTTCCGAACCTTTTACAACTCATTTTGTGGAGAATTAGTAGATATTTTGACGGAAGTAAACCGCGTATTGATACATTAGTCATTTCAAAAAATAACTTTGAAATGATAGCCCATTTTCAATTCACCAACCCAATAGGTTGAGTTTTTAGAGCTTTGATTTTCCAAATAATTACTTCTTTTAGCTTCTAATAGTAAGTGGGCTGCGGTGGGCACGCTTTTCAGCATCAAAATTTTTGTGTGCCGTAAGCAATAAAATATGCAAAATGGATGCAAGAGAGTTTTCTTGCAGTTGATAAATTTTGAAAAGTTTTTCCTTTTGTGAAATAAGCTGACCACAATGTAGAAGTTCAACTCATCCCCACACTCGCTTTCCACCCAAAAATAGTTCAATCCGTGAGCGAGAAAAACGGCGTGACAATTGGCTAAACCATACTAATGAGGGTTTCAATGAAATCCCAACGAAGCATAAAGCTAATATAAGTGGCTAACGGTAGTCCAATCATGATCCCATATTGCACATATTTCAGTCTCTCAAAAGAGGCGAAATATCGACCGTCGAAGGCTAGGGCCAAAAAGCGATTGATGCCAAGGAAAAGCTGAATTTCCTTAGTAAGAACATTGATTAGATGAGCTTCACTTTTGGATTGTACCCAGCCACAACAAGAGTGAAGGCAAGCCCCGCGATTAAGTAGTTGGGTAGAGGAAGTAATGTGTCGAGGTTCCTAAAGAGCGGTTAGTTAGGAGTTGGTTGGGTAAATAAACCAAATAGCACATGGGACACCCCAACACAAATGGCACACGTTGACGAATAAATTGCTGGCCAAGTCTATCATCATGTACTGTTTGACCATTCCTTGGAGAAATGAATTACCCAGGACGACGAGGATCGCCCAGATACCGATGCAAATACCGAGAATGCCCATCTGGAAAGCTCTTCGTTAGGTACCAAGTTTGTTGGAAAGGAACCCAACTTGCTCTGTGTTCAGTTTTGGCACTAATTTTCACACTAGCGGTTTACTTTTGTAACACTAATCTAGATTTTTCTAGAAACTAAAAACCATACGAAAGCCATTATGCAAATCTCGACAACACTCTGGATATCAGTCGATTTCGTTGCCGTCGCGTTCATCGCGATCAAGAGATCTTCTAAAAAGAAATTTGTTACAACTGACAAAAAGGTTCGTAAACTTTACAAGATTAAGTTTAAAGGATAAATTTAATGCTAGTAAATAGAAAATAAGCCGACCCTGTTCTTCTGTGATCATCATTTCCAAGAGGAAAAACAGCGAACGTTCAAATAATTCACCCGAAAGATTTTCGTAGCAACATGGGAAATTTGGTGACTTTTTACATTTGAAATTAATGTTCTATGCTGTTTCAGACTTATTCACCTTCAACTCACTGTAGTAGACTCACTCACTTCAACTCACTCAACTCTAGACGAAGGATTTCTATAAAATTCCAAATAATTATTTGAGTGAACTAGTAGAGTATGCTAATATGTGACCCGGAACCATTCACTGAGCTTTCAAATTGAAGTTTTGAACCCGTAAAAGTGTACGTCTACAAAAATTTTTCCCACAATCTGTCTCTTTACTTTGAAATTCCTGGAACTCATTCTTTTATGGAAAATATTTCTGATCTCTGGGATCACAAAACGACAAGGATAATTGCGTGTGAGCCGATTTTTTTAATCTTTTTGTGAATAGTGAGTGTGAATGTGAAAGTTTACTCAATTGTGCTTCGATGTTAAAATAAATTTTAGAGATCAAAGAGTAAATGACAAAAAAACACAGATAATACACGTTGGGATGGCCCCAAAGCTGACGTTGGGATGACGCCAAAGCTGGAATTATTTATGTAACATGACGTTTAGGACTTATGAACAGGGCGATGGTGATGAGTATGATGATGAGCGCACACACCCACACTGGCCATTTCAGCGTTCTCTGAAAAACGTCATTTGATAGCCAAAATAATTTAGTATATTGAAGTAAATTCACTAAATTGATATCTCATATAGTTCCCACTTTGCTGTGGAGAACTTGTATTTGCCCATGCTGAGAAAAAATAGAAGCCAAGAACCGAGGCAGTTTACGGCTACCTCATAGCTTGGCGGTGGTGATGGCTGTTCGTTGATGGGTGGTGCTGACGGTTCCATTTGATTGAAGAATAAAGAAATTCTTTAGGTAAAGATTCAATGGTTATGGCTAGACATTTATCTTTATAAGAACTTTTTAGAAACCTCAGAACGGAAATGACATTCCATATTGAACTTTGATAAAATCGGCACTTAAAACGGAAAACTTTTTAACCATTAATTATTTATCAAAATGTATCGATTAAAATATTTGATATTGGACTGTTGATTGAAAGTTCAAAGAATAGATACATGTAAAATGATCAAGAGAAAAGAGTGGAACGAATCCATTTCAGCCTTTTATGGTTCTCTCCTTAATTTTAGTTCTCTTTTGAAATAAGAAAAAATATTTGGTTGCAACTTTTGGTGAAGTGTATCGGTTACTAGTCTAATAATCAAATCACATAAATAGTCTATCATTTACTTTTGAATTGTTTTATCAGTCTTCTAAAAATGAAGTCAAATCTCCACTCGACAGCCAACAATGCAGTGGTTAGAATTCAAATAACGGCATTGTTCTGAATCTACTTTTACCTGTTCGCAAAATTCTCATACGATCCCTGCATCTTAGCGAATGATAGTGGGAATGATAGCGCTGTGTTGAGCTGCTGGAAGACATTGGTGAGACGTCTCTTCATTAAACCAGTTCAGCTTCAGTTATCACCAAACACAGTAAAAGCTATCATTCCCGGTTGCAATTTGACATCTTTTCGGAATAAAAATTGCTATTTTCGATCCAAAACTGAGAAATCCGATTGAATTAAATTGTTTTGGACGCCGGTGAATACTCGTTTGAGAAGAAAATACTAAATGAGAATTGAAAATGAGTCGATCGCCGAAATCACCTTTTGTTCAACGTTTCCGCTGAAGTTGAACGCACTAAATTGGCTTTTTTAAATAAAATTTTCATTTGAACTTTTTAAAGTGCGCTTCAAGTCGGTGACATTGGGTTGGATTCTGGCAGAAAGAGTGATCGTTTCATCCGATTTCTTGTTGGAGCATTAGACGGCCAAATTGAAACATTTGAAAACACCTTATTTATGGTTTCACCGAAAACAGTGACGTCTTTGTTTACTCTGAACAGAACCATTTGGGTTTTGCCGTTTTTAAGATTTAAGTGGTTCCCACTATTTGAAAAAGCTCCAAAGGAACAAGGCACAAGTACACCAAATAATCACTTCTCACCTTTATGACGAAGTGCATCCAGTAAACCTTCTAACGTTTGAAAATCATAGCTGAAGGCAAATTTAATAGATAGTCAGATTTGAGGATAACATCAAATTGCTCTTCATGGCGCTCTCAAAATAGAAAATAAAAAAGAAACAGAACCATATCCAAGAAATCGTGAAAATTAAATTGATCGTAGTGAATTTTCTGTGACAAATTTGAATGGTTTTGGGGATTTTTTGTACCTTTTCAACTGCTCTGCGCTTTACCTTATTTAAGGTAAGATTAGAGAGCCCACTTTTGTTGAGATCCAAAAATGAGTGCCTGAGTGTTTCAAAAAATGCCCATGTTTTTTAGAGTAAATAAACTGAAAAAATTGCTGTAGAAGAATTTATTACGGCAGTAAAAACACAAACTAGGGAATCATTTTTTTGGTATTCGATGATTTTTTCCCCATTCTCCGCTTTTTGTTCCCGCGGCTTTAGTTGTTTGCTCATTTTGAGTCGAGCCGAGAAACGGAATCGGCTGACTTTCAATATAACAAAATTCCTTTTTTACTAAAGTTCCATCGAATTTTCTCGACTTCCCAGCTGTTGGGACGGCTCTTCGAATCTTCATTGCACATCCATTTGGCAAAAGAAAATCCAGACGAATAGAACTAAACTCATTAATATAATAGCATCCATCTGGTTACTTTCAAAAAACATACCGTTGACTTGGAAAGCTTTTTTGCGTCTGGCTTTTTATTTTGCAGTAAAGCCATATCTGGAAAGCTCTCTGGTAGCTTTGAAAGTGTTTCCTGTCTTTCTGTATCATTTTCGAATGGAAAGATTAACTCTAGGAAAACCACGCCCAGAGCATAAACATCGATCTTTGCATTATATTGCTTGCAACTTCTCTAAATTAACGCTTATATATTAACGCAATCTTATTTTGTTAAACCTGCTCGGGGGACATATAGAATTGTGTGCCCACATAATCGGTTAAGTCTGATTGACCAACATCTTGGTTGTCTAACATCGATTTTGATTTCAATGTGAGCGTAGAAAACAAACCTTTTCGAGCTTCGACTTTTGAACCCAACGGTCGACTCAAACCCAAATCGCCAATTTTCAAAAGACTTTCGGAGGAGAGGAAAATATTTGCTGGCTGAAATTGTTGTTTTTTGAAAAAACTCAATGTAGAGAACTTTTATGTCTCGATGAATCAATTTTTTCCTGTGCATATAGGTAACAGCTTTGATCAGTTGCCGAAACCATCTCCATATTTTCATATAATTCCTTCTCTCAATTTGGTTATTTTCTCGAAGCCAACGTGCCAAATCCAAATGACCAGAATCATTCGGAAGACAAAGCTGAAAGCAAGAGATTTTTGCTGACAAGATGTTTCTCACCTCCATTTGTATATAAATAAAAATTTCTAGATCTTGTAAATCAGTAATGCAGTAGAAGTCACGTCCGTCTGTTCACACAGTTCATTGTCTTGAAGCTCCTCGTCATCATTGGAGTCTTCGCTCTCCGTATCGATGCACAAATCGTCGAGCAAGGCAGCCTGTGAAGAAATCTCTGACGCTCCTCTACTGACGGCATTGTCTCCTTTCAACCCATCATTTGCAGGTCTAATAAACTTTGAGAAGATGAATTGATCGCTTACCTCAATTCAAGTTCAACAGGTCTTTCCCGTGTTTTCTGCTGCCATGAAGCTTTTTTTGTTTGTTTCTCCGCATCTTCTAGCTCTTGCAAAAAACCATCCTGTAATTTCATGAAATTGGTCAACTTTAATAAAAAACAATACCACTATTCTTCGGTCATTGGTTTCAATCCAAGTTGTAAAATATTTGATGATGTGTGGGTGGCTCAGGGATGCGAGTGCTCTTGCCTGAAAAGAATTTTTTATCAATTTGACTTATACTCTCTACTTAGTACCTCTCTTAATGAACTTTCAAAATCATTTTTGTGGGGATTCACTCTCTTTATCGCATATTTGCACCCATCGATTTTGTTTTTTGCTTGATAAATCATAGTGGAGCCTCCGTCGAAAAAAAAGTGAGACATCTTGAAAATCTTCCCTGAAAGAAAAAGCGTGGATATAGTTATGACGCATAGAAATGCTAAAAAGCTTTCAATGCTTTAATTTTTACCATCTCGATTTAAAACAATCTCCCATGACGTTATTTGTTGTTAAAAATCAATAGTTTTTTGAATATTTTGCAAAATTGGTTGCAAAGTATGAAAGAAAAGTTTTGTTCAGGCAAAAGTTTGAATCTCTGAAAAAAACGAATGCGACTTTATCAGAAAGACGCAAGATACGGGGCGATTCATCAATTTTGCACACGATTGGTCTTGGGAAAAGTTTGTGATAAGATTGACCAACAATTTTAGCACAATGTCGTGTCAGAAGGAACAACTAGACTAAAATAAAAGGGTCATAAAAATTTAAGATTGCTAAAGCTCACTCACAGAAATTAGAAATGCTACACTACAGATTATATTCAGCTTTCTCAAATTCTGAGTTTGTAGTTTTTTATATTTTATGTGAACGGATTGTAGAACTAGATGCATGCTTGAATTTTACCATTGTTTATTTTATGGAAGAGTCCATCTTTTTTGAATATTA